TGCTGCCACCACTCCTTCTGCTACTGCCACTGCACTTGCCACCTGCTGCTACTACTGCAACAGCTTTACTGCTGCCGCTACTGCTCACTACTATCACCAGTATTACCACCACCACAGATTTAGCGGAAGCCACTAGACTCAACTTCAAATTTACTTCCCATTCCAGCCAAAAATTAATTACCGGAAGCGACTAAGTGTAGTCATAGCCAGGGCTCGAACCCTCACAGTGTGGAAGTGAAGAATTGGAGTCCGACACTGTTACCATTAGGCTATGCAACCCTTTGAGCGGAGAAGCCAACCCAAATATCCCATATTAAAGGAGGTGCTAGAACACCATATTAAGGCCAAACAGAATTAGCGGCGGCCAGTGATCGGAGTGAGTCTCCAATCTAGAGCTGAAGCCACCACCTGTTAAGTGTCTTGAGAGCCCACTGAGTCACCAATATGCGTGGCCAGCTGATGGCCTTTTTGGGCTTCTTGCGTCGTCTGCTTGAGTTGGAGAAAGAAGCAGATGTGTTCATGTCGGGGGCTTGGATCAAGTGACTTGTTGGTTTGATCCATAGGGCTTGGATCAGCACTCTGATCCATAGGGTTTGGATCACTCTCACTGCAGCGCGGAACGATCCATACCAGGGTTTCTGGCCACACCCATATACATGAATGTACTATCATGTCTTACTATATAATCTATTACCATATATATCATATCAATGTTATATCTCCCAACAAGTGAAGTACAGCAGCAACCCCCCTCGTCCTCCAATTTGCCGTGCAGCCGGCAGAGGTATACTGTGGGGTCCAGTGTGGGATGCTTGGCATTTCTTGAGACGACTCCTATCGTCAGCTGGATTGATATGTTCCCCTCTCTTCCGGTCCCAGGACCCAAAAAAGGATGTGCAACATATTTGCATTTGATGTGCTAAAGCTGGTTGGTTGTTTCTGAGATGTTCATGTTCAACCTTTTCTTTGAGATGATTGACCCCACAATTCACATGCTGACTAACATGTGTGGTTCGTTCTCGGATTTCAACGAACCTACAAGAAGAACCAACCAAGGAACCGACCAGGTCCCTGAAATCCTTACGACTGGACGCCATCCCAGGATGCCTTTGGCGTGGAAATGGCAGCCAGTTGGCCCGTCGGCCGAACATTCGTCATGCCGAGAGGGATGAAGACCGAGAGGTTTGGGGACCTGGTCCTGCTTTCCCAACGGTACCCCTAGACTTCCGTTCGACTAAAAAAATGGTTGACCTGGTTTCTGTAGTGTCAAATCCTTAGTTGGTTCGGTAAAGCCTATTAATTTGATGGTGGTTGGAAGTCTAGGGGTACGAGGTTGTTCAAGCAACAAATCTGGTCAAAGTATAGCGACCTCACCGGCCGTCACCCCGAATTACGACCAAACAATTTGGAAATAGTGAATTGGGACCCAACGACCTACGAAATATTACAATTCAACCAGACAAATGGGGTGGTTTGGTCCTGGTCAAGAGTCTACATGGAGGGTGGCCCGGGATGAGCCGTCGGGGTGCGAAAATTATAGATCGATCACTCTTTGAGAGGTGTTCGGCCTGCAACCGAAGGGGGGAAGGGGGCCCAGGGAATGGGAGATACCCAAAGTATTGGACCAATCCTGCATGTGTTTGGCACATGCTTAGCTTATCCATGACCTCTCGGAGGAACCAGATCGGTACTGACTGATCGACTCGGAGCGACTCCGGAAGTGTCTCAAAGATGTTGATCCACTCACAGCATCGTATTATGATCCCCAAATTATAGATCTAGAAACGGTGTCCAATCCATTTTTTGTAGGGATCTACTACTTTTCTATCCATATTTGGGTGGTCTCGAACATGGAAATATACCATGTTCCCACGCGTGCAGCGTGGCTTTCCTGGAGAAAGCCGAACCGATCGGCCACTCCCGGTTACTATATCTCATGTTCACCACGAGACTGGTCGAATCCATGACGAATCCGTCAACTCCCTAGGGATCCAAGTAGCTTCTCATACCTTCTCAGAAGGTACAACTGGACCCTCAAAAAATCCACATAAGAGTGTCTCCAATCACCTGAGGTTCGGTACGACTGGATCCCTAGGGACTGAGCGCTGAGCACTAGCTCGATGGCTCGGCACCCGGAACGACCCAAACTCCGCCGTCCGGAATTCGGCATTGGACGACGCAACTCGGTGTGTGTGCCCAGACGTGCTGGACCGTAGATGGAGGGGTGGAGGGGAGGGTTTGGGGTTTCTCACCCATCTATATGGGTTGGTTCGGGACCTGGAAAGGGCTTTGAAAGGAGTGTTTGTGTGTGGGTCATATTAGGGGAAGATGTCGACACCACTAAAAAAAAAAACGAATCCAAGATCAGCCTGATCACAAAAACCGAGATGTGAAACCTCAGGCGAAACGTCATAGTTTGGAAAGCCCAGGTTCCTCCAAAGCATTTTCCTGCTCTTCGTGTGCTTCGCGCTGATTGCAGCTTCCGCTGCAGTTCGGGACCACGATCGTGGTAATAGGAAGGTCTGTCTCAGATCGGGGGGGGGGGGGCAGTCCGGGTGATCCTGTGTTCAACGGCACCCAGCGGGTCTGTCCGAACTGACCTGTAGAGCCGCCGCCAAAGAAGCCTCAGGGATCCACGTACCTTCTCAGAATGTGGTTTGGAGAGACTGTTATGTAGGTGCCAGGAGGGTCCAGTCGTACCTTCTAGAACTGAGAGGGTACGACTGGATCATCTTGGATCCCTAGGGAAGAACATCAGAATTTTTGAATACGGATTTTGCTATCCATCATCCTCCGCACTGAGAATAGGATAGACCCAAGGCATCCAGTTGATTGGAAGCCAAACACTTGGCACTTTACGAGAGAGAACCCTCCAACTGTAACACCAACCAATATAGGCTATAGGTTGACGTTTGGTCTTCACTCTTGAAACGTCTCCCAATTCTAATGAACACCCATCTATTCAGTCGTACTTTTCCTCCGGGCTCCTTCAGGTGGTGTCCAACGTCCTGGCCAGCTTCCTCTTCACCTTGCAGAAGCAAGTTGGAGATAAGGCACCGACTAACCCACCACCGGCGAGCGGGCTATAACAAGGGTTTGTACCTCAAAACCCTTGTTTTTGAGGGTGCGGATCCTTAGGGCAGGGGTGGTTTTGGTGAGGGGAGCTTTTGGCCAGACGTGGTTGACGCGGAGGCCAGAAGGCCAACAGACAGGGGTGGTCACGCCCAAGCACTCCATGGGATTGGCCACATAGGACTGCCGACCCCTTGACCCCCCCAAACGGCCAATATGGCAGTCCCGACATGGACCCTCCAATTGCCAACAGACCTCCAGTCCCAAGGCACACGCCACACAACTGGCATCTCTACCCACATTGGGGGTGGTTTCAGGTGTCAATCTATTTATAACTATTCCAGGACACAAGACGGGATGCTTTTTAGTCCCATCCAGTGAGTGGAGTAGCTGGGCACCCCGACTACCTCCAAGTTCGGCACCAATGTGACTGCCCGTGACTGCTGGTTTATATAGCCAGACCTCCTGTCACAGCCCTTGATCCCTTCGAGCCCGGACCCCTCCACTGATTCGGATCTTCAAGGTCATCTTCCCCTCCGGAGTCGGTCGAACGGGTCGCGTTTGGGTTGCCGTGCATGGACCCGTTTGGGCCAAGTATACCAAGAGAGGTAGCCAGTGACCTGAACTAGGAACCTACTGGGATACCTATGGGATAGTCTAGTTATGAGTCTAGTTCGGGTCATTCCACCTCTGTTGGTACCGAACCTGAGGTTCGGTGAGACTGGGGTGGCTGCCAGGGCCCAGTCAGGTCTCTTGCCCCTGGACCCTCAAGCTGCATGTTGGTCCAAAACCCTGGCGAACTGAGGGTCCAGCCTTATAAGATGGTCTACATCGCCTTCCGAGGGAAGAGAGGTGTTTCCGTCTCCATCGATCGTAGGAGGTCTTCTTTCGGGCTTAGCCCGAAGGTAGACGGCTGATGAATCAAACTTCTGAGATGGAGATGTGTCACATCACCATGTTTTCTTGCCTTCACCTGTGGTCTTTCGCAAAACCAACGCCCTATCCGCACTGAAAAACCCGTGGATTCGAGCGCGCGAGCGGTCCGTCCTCACCGTCCGATCCTTGCTCGTCGGTCGAGCCGGCGCCGGCGCCAGGAGAGGGATACCTTGATTCAGAACGAGATCGAGTCCAAAGAGGAATTCTTACGTGGCTCGGTGTCCAAAGAAGTATCTTGCTTTGGGTGGCACACCCCATGGCCTGTAACAGTGGGTGCTAAGACAAGATGATCACGTTCCTTTTAAAGGAAGGCGCCTTCCATGATGATGATCATCATCATCATCATCATCATCATCATCATCATCCACTGTTACTCGGAATGGGAAATGGCATATCCAAAAGATGTTGTTGAAAGATTGGAGATCCAAGGCACCTTTCTCTACTTGCTCCGGGAGGTTGCGTGTCTCAGCTTCTAGGATCTTCTAGGTATGAAGCTTCTGCCCTAAGAATCTGCACCCGCAAAAAACAAGGGTTTGGTTCGGGGCCCCAAGCCCTTGTGAACTAGAGGGTTCGACCCCTTCCAAGGAGGGTCCAAGGATATTTAGGGCAATGAGTTTTTGATGCTGCTTGAGACCCACCACTTCAATTGCAAAGAGCTCTCCACGAAGTCGATCCATCTCAGCTCCAAGCAGTCGGATCGGAGCAGTGAGTTCTGGTCACCGAGTGGTGCCGGCTATACCTGTGATCCAATACCAAGTACCCGTATACGGTCCATGCTACCTTTGGTTGAACGCAGGTGAGTACGCAGTTCCAGACCCGTTTGGGCTCCAGTCGTACCGAACCTGAGGTTTGGTGGTTGGAGTGGGTGCCAGGAGGGTTCAGTCATAATTCTGAGGAGCTACGACTGGAGCCCTCGGGAGAATCATTGCCACCATTCTCGGCGCGTTCCTTTTTCTTTGGACCATCCCTAACCAATGGACCATCGAGTCACACGTGACCATCCCGGGCTCTCGGATTCTTACAGGGTGTTCACATGCTGGGTGTTCCATCCCTACTATAATCCCCACTAAACCATCCAGGGCGGATTTCATAAGAGTGGTGAACATAAACCATTCAAATCATTCAATGAATACACTTGGAGTCAGAGATGATGTTGTTTAAACAAATAAGAATAGCTAGCACCTGCATAATTAGCACCAATCGCAGAAAAAGGCTCAGGTTCCATGGCGTTTTGTAGCTCAGGTTCCATGGCGTTGGTGTTTCGAGACTTCGATCAAAACAGCAATGGCGCCATCTCATGGACGGCCACTCGGCATGAACGAAGGCACGGACAGACATCCACGTGACAGACATCGACACCGGTGATCTTGGAGCCTAAAAATTCATTACCCTACCCTAGACTTCCAAGACCATTAAAAAGATGGTTGACCTGGTTTTTGTAGTGTATAATTAATCCTTAGTTGATTCCATAAAGCCTATTAAATTAATGGTTGTTGGAAGCCTAGGGCCTAAGGATCATTAGACCCTCTGAACTGGAGGGTTTGGACCCGACCACAGGTTCCGCCCGGGGGGCCCGTATAGGACCCGAACCAAACCTTCACCGAACGGGTCGGGTCCTTGATTCTTAGGGTAGCATCAATGAGCGTTGAGATCTCTTGAGCTTGTACCTGGGCCCTCCAGCTAAGGGGTGCCCTGTTTGGAAGGCTATAGGCAGTGTGGAGTAGTCCAGCCAGGACACCCCGAGGGTCGGAGGGTCCTGGTAGGAAGTCCTTCCACGTTCTTAAGTTGTCGGGTTCAACACCATCGCCATGATTGGCCGTCCACCGCCGCCTTGCGCGGTTGGTCGTCGTCGGGCGATTCGAAGCACGACGATCCTTCTTCGGTGACCGAAATCGTCCAATCAAGAGTGCCTTTAAGCGCCATGCAGGGGAAAAAACACGAAAAAAACACCTCCCCAGACACGACCCTGGGCCCTGTGCGCCGCTAGTCGTTGAGGCCGTACCCGGACAGGTCCGGACCGTCGATCCCCGGTGGTCTCGGGATTCGGGACCCGTCGGCCGGATCAGTGTGTACGGAGCGGCTCTGGGTCGAGGCCTCCCGGACCCAACAGCAACCCAAGCGTAGAAAGCAGAGGTGGAGTCAGGACCCGAGTTCCTTCGAGAAGACCATCCCAGTTCGGTACTATTCGGTTTCCCTCTGGGTCCGAAGGTTCAGGTCATTGGATAGATCTCCTAGGAACTGCCTTCTATATTGGAGCTGTGGGAGTTCGACTCACCCATCTCACCAGTCTAGAGTTCGACTCACCCATCTCACGCGACCCCTTCGACCGTGCCCATCCGAACGGGTCCAGGGTCGTCCAGGGTCGAAGCAATTCGGTTTTGAGGGATCAAGGGCTGTGACAGGAGCGTTTGCATGGTATATACGTTTCCGCCAGAGCCATGCTATTACGAGGTACTTCCAACAGAGGTCAAGTGACCCTATAGGACCCTAGACCTGGACCCTCTAAGGGGTGCCCTGTCTGGAAGCCTATAGGTAGTGTGGAGTAGTCCATTGGACTCCCCGACAGGAGGGTCCTGGGAGAAGTAGCTATAGTCGAACCGTTTGGTTCTGACCCACCTCTGCTACTGAGTAGCAGAACATTTGCTATACGGCCACAAAAACTCGCTAGTCCCAAGAGAGGTCGAACAGCCTTTTATAGGGCGCCCATCCCATATATGTATCCCAGGGTCCTAGTTCTCAACCTCTCAACCTCTCCGCGTCCCCGAGGAGTTCGAGTTGGCGCTGGAGGATGAACGGATGTTGGCCTTCTTGGCCTCCATGGGCTGCTCGGAGCGTGTCTTCGGTGGGCGGGGACGATCGCAGCCAGCCGCGAAGGAGGTCCAGCCGTTCCGAAGCGTTTTGGCAACGCTGGGACTGGGGTGCCAGGAGGGTCGAACAGCACCGGTCACCGGTTTGGAGGTACGACTGGAGGTGTAAGAGTATACTGTATTTGGGGGCGACGTTTTCTGTATGCAGTGAGCGGGAAAATCTTTGCCTGGCTCTTGATGGAATGACATATTTTGCCTATAGCACCTGCAGTTGATGGAATGGTGGCCCAGGCGCCAAGTTTGTTCAATGAGCAATGATTCACACAAGAACGCCTGGATTTCACGCATGTCCTCACAAGATGTTCATGGCCTCGGCCCCCCTGTCCTTTCAATCAAGCAGCCAACAGTTGTAGATCCTTATAATCCTCTTGCGGCCCCATCCTCCTCCATCCTGCCGCCACTCGGCTCTATAATCGCATGCCTCTCCATCATAAATATGATCCCTATAGAGGCCCTAGAAGTCCAGGGACCCACCGTTCACTCCCATCGACGACCCTTCTTTTGGACTGGACTTCCCTGCAGGGGTCCCGTCCCATGCGAGGCTTGGACATCTCCGATGCCATCGGACTCTTCGAAGTCTTGGATTCGGATTCCACTGGTGCCATCGACGCCCGGTTCGTTCGCGCGAAAGCCCCGGTTCACGCGACGGATCGCCACGGACAAGTCTTGTGGCCCGGAAGATGGAGAAACGAAGAGAAGATGAGAACCAGGACCTTCTTAAGTGACCTCTTTGGAGTCTCTAAGTGACCTCTTTAGGGACTGAGTGACCTCATTCTAGGATATCAAGTTCGGTCACTTTGAAGGTCCTGGAGGTGAGTGATGCGACGTGTGTTTTGGTTGTTTCCGTGCGCGGGGAGAGTGGGCTGCCGAATCGAGGGGCCGAGTCAGATCGACGGTCGTAGGTTGGTTCTGCCTGGTAGTGGGGTAGGAAGCAAGCGCCCCCAAAAGCGAGAAGCTCAACAAGAAGCAATCTGTGGAGGGCATGCGTGGTTTCACGCATGCAAAAGCCAACCAAACTGCCCCAGCAAGCAGCTAAGACTTTGTAGTGCCTCATGGAAGTTGGTCAACGCTTCCGGATGTTTGTCATCCTCCGAACAAAGCCTCTCTAGGAACAGATGGAGTTCCTTCTGGGCTGCTTACGTCTCAGAGGCGGTGCAAAAGCTGTGGCCACTTGGAGCTGCGCTGTCGCCGAACCCCTGACCGACAGAAGGGTGTTCAGATCCTTCTGGCGACCAATTTTCAATCGAATTTGAGGCAACCAATTACCGTTACCCTAAGGATCCGCACCCGAAACAAAACAAGGGGTACACATCCTTGTTATTGAGGGTTCCCTTCTGAGGGTCCGTTCGGATCCTTAGGGTTCCGAGTAGGGTTCCGAACAAGCAAATCCAAGAAATTGCTATCCAAAGGGCCACTGTTCAATCATCATTCAACATTTGCTTGCGGGCACTTGGCACTTGTGGGCGAGCCCGGCAAATGCCAATTTTCCCGTGATCAGCCATGCTTGAGGCAGAATGACTGCCTCCAATTCAGGCCTTGGATAGGTTTGATTTGGGAGTTTCCTCTTTCCGAAAGGCAGAGGACCCACTGGAGATAGCCAAAAGTGCTTGCACCCTCCAATAAGTACCTGAGAAAATGGCACATGACCTCATACAAACAGGTACAGCATAGTACAGCACTGGGGCCCAATAGACTCGGTGACGGTACGTTTCCGGGTCGACTCCGTATATAGTCTCGTATTGATGCAGGAAGTGTAAAGCCTCTTCAGTTTGAAGATGCCTCCTTCACGCCGACCGACGTCGTCACAACCTAGACGCCACCGATGTCGGACGGAGCTTATAACGTCACCGTACGACATACCGTCATGGTGACGGTTTGTCAAAAGGATGACAGAGCTGAGCTGATAAAGAACATCCCACTTGCTAATCAAGCTTGGTGACAGGGCTGACGTGACTATGAACCCAACCTGTTCGAAAAAGAAGTTTCACACTGCCAGGTCCAACAAGAAAATCATCTCACTGCGTAGAACGATGACATACGATGACCACAGTGTGTCGTTTCAGGCTCCGGCATTGGAGGCAACCAAGGTTTTTCCTTACCTGGTGCTTCTAGAATTGATCTGTTCCAGTGAGGCCAGGTCTGTCTCAGAAAGGCATCGCCCTCAAACCGCATCACGCGGCGTCGTCAAGCTGCTCCCTCCCTCGCCTTCCAACGATCGTCTTGACTCAGGACCTGGTCCGCGTGCAAATGGAGCAAGAATGGGTGCATCGTGCCATGTTGCAAGTCCGTCAAACGCTGGGCGAGATGGGCAAGCTCCTGCAGAAGATTCAGAAGACGCAGGTGGATGGGGGGTGGCCGGGTGATTTTGGGGTGGAGCTGACATCTGTAGCTATAGCAATTCCATACACTCCATGCATATTTACATGCATGGGGGTTGGTTTTAGGGGTCAATAGATATGGATCGTATGTATGTACGTCGATATATGCCGGTCCCATGGAGTATTTGGGAATCGGATCGTCTTGCAGAGTGTCTTCGCTTGGACCGCTCCATGTAGAGACCGCAGTGGGACTGGCATATTGACATGGGGATGGACCTGGCATCGATGGAGGGTCCGACCCTGGAGAGCCCGGACTCCGTGCTAGAGGGCGGTCCTAAGTAGAAGGGGTCAATCTTCAGCTGACGCACTGCTTCGCACGGTGCGCCATGCTTTCGGCACGTTGGGGAACCCGCCTGAGATAGGCAAGTGAGTGGTCGCTCCCTGCCAGTAGCACAGCTCGGCTGAGCAAGTGCAGTCCAGCCCCGGTCGCGCGCGTTGGCTCCGATCGGATTGCGGTGCTGGGAGACCTGAAGCTGCTTCGATCGGACGGAACGAGGTCCGAGAGCGATCGGACGCGAAGCGAACGGGGCGCGCTCCTGGCCTTACTAGTAACAAGAAGCTATTACCCTCAGAGTCAAAGACTATAAAAAGAATGGTCTGACTAGGGGAACTGAGTTGGGGAACTTCCTTGACAGCCGGTCAAAATAGTCTTTGGACTTCTACCCTAAGGATCCGCACCCTCAAAAACAAGGGTTTTGAGGGTACCAACATGTACAAACTCTTGTTATAGAGGGTTCGAGCCCTTCTAAGGAGGGTCCAAGGATCCTTAGGGTAGGGTATTAAATTAGAATGTAGCCCAGGAGTCACAAGACGGGGTTTAACTTGGAGGTAGTCGGGGTGCCCCTGTCACCTCCACTCACTGGATGGGACGAGCCACACCACCCAACCACCCCCAACTCCATGTGACCCCTGGGCTAGTTGAATTCGTCCGATCGACCGACTCCAAATCCCATCTCCCATCTCCTCCCGTCCTCGCCCAGGCGGGGACCCCCTTTGGCCCGTCCAAGTCCGATGTGATGAGCAACTTCATCAGTGACGCTTGGAAGGATGCAACGCTGCAAGAGAGAGAGAGAGAGAAGAAAAACAGAATTGTTCAGTTTACTCAGAGATTTTCTGAGTCTTTCCAGTGTTTTTGGGAACTTTCTTGCTACTTGTTTCGATGATCAATCACGGGCATGTCTTTGGATATCCAGGCTTCTGGATCTCCATGAAATCATAGGTTTACTAAGTATCACAGGCTGGGCGGTGGTGTCAGAGATGTTTATGTTCAACCTTTACTTGGGATGATTGAGCCCACAGACATTTTTTTTTGGCTTTGTCAGATGAAACCACCTATACTTGCAGGGGTGTTGACCCCTTGATGTCGGAGATATTGGGGTGCAAGTGACGTCCCTCAGTGCACGCTTCTGTTGATCGAGTTTCTTTCGTCCGTTGTTCCGCCCAGACCAGACCCTGGACCCTCCGTTCGGTTCATCCGAACTGGTCAGGAGTCCGGACCTTCTCACCCATCCCGACAGGGATTCGGTTCGGGACCAGTCGAGGGTCGGGACCACGGAGCGTCTGGGTGGGATGGGACTTCGACTCGGTTCGGACCACCAAGTACTCCATGGGACTACCAGGACTGCCCCCCCCGGACCCCCCTTTTCCACCACCCCTGGCCGTCCGGAGTCCGGGCCGACCCCGTTCGCTGGTAGCAGGTCGGACTCGACAGAAGGAGTCCCAATCTCCGACTCGACCCGACTTCACCTGACCCTGCGGGCGATTGACCAGGCTCGCTAAGCCCTTGACTCTTCGCTTGCGCCGGCGCAAGCGAGAAAACCCATATATAATATAATCATTGGACCCTGGTATGCAGGGTAGTATGGAGGGTTTGGACCCGAACCAAACCTTCACCTTGGAGGGTCCTTGGTTCTCAGGTTAAGTTAAACATTATTATGCGCCAGCAAGGCAAGTCTCATGAGCCACGCCGACGGCGGCTGCGTCTTAAGATTGACATATTTGTAGGAAAGGCACTACCCAGACGCTCATGGACCCTCCTAAGTAGGGACCGTACCCTCGTATGGAGGGGTCCGGACCCTCAAATCCCTATGGTTTTGAGGGACCAGTCGGCCTGTTTGGAGCGTTTGGGTACAAAACATCCTCCACTGTTGATTGGAATGCCTTGATTCTCATGGGGATATGCTTGCGAATTCAGCGATCGTTTATTGGATTGTCCTTTCGGAAGATGTTTTGGTGCTCTAAGGATCCACACCCTCAAGAACAAGGGTTTGGTTCAGGGCCCCAAACCCTTGTGAACTAGAGGCTTCGACCCCGACCCCCATGGAGGGTCCGGTCGGACCCTTAGGGTAGAAACCAATCGGACATGTATCGAATGCCATCGACCGATACACCAGACCTGCCCGCGTGCGCGCACGCGGCGCGCGACCGACCGACCGACCGTGCCGTGCATGGGGGTCTAAGGACTCGAAGGCGCCCACGGACTCCTATAACTTCATGCAGTCCACACCGTTACCCACGCCCAAGACCAAGCACCGCACGCAGCTCTTGCCCCACGAGCGGGCCGTACCTGGGTCCCAGTCGTTGGACCGGTCCAGGAGCGTCCGAATCGGAGGTCCTTGGGTCTCCAGTTCGACCAGGAAGTACGGGTTCACCTCCAAGACCATCCGAAAAGGAGGTACCCGGACCCTATGGCCCTATGGGTAGTCTCGAACTAAAATGGAAGTGAATGACATTGGCCTTTGGAATCCTGAAATCCTGGAAAGACCCGTTTCCCTCCACAAACAGGCGGTTTTCCACTAACATGGATAGTGTCAGGGAGGGTAGACTGCTTTGTAAAAGCACCCGGACATGGATTTTGTCCAGGGGCCTCTGAGGGGAGGGTGCAAATGCCAGGGAAACCACTTAGGGAACCCCTATGGCGAACGGCATCCCGGGTTCTCTTCTTTTCGCGCCCAAATTCTTGGCACGGCACGTGTTTGTGTCGGAGGGCATGTTCAGGCGTGTGTTTGTTGAGCGCATTTTGGCGCGATCGAACGGGGAGGGTGGTTGGCGTCCTTGTTACTACTAACTTCCTAGTTGTAGTACCAGGAGCTACTACTCGTAGCGTCCGATCGCTCCGAACGTAGCGATGTCAGGAGCCCCTTAATAGCGTCCTTGTCATATAGGGTGGTTGTTTGAAGATGCTCTTTCCACGGCACGACCGATTTGGGTCGTGTTGTGTTACTCGAGTGAATGGCAGGTCCGTGTGGGATCGTCGGATGACAGGCAAAAGTGAGGAAGCATGGACGAGCCTAGCACCTGAGAGAGACCTATTTTGGATCATCAACCACCCAACATAGAGGTGTTTTCCTATCAAAACAGGGGTCATATGGGGTCATGTAATGATGGGTTCTATATATGCCAGAGTTGAACATGACACCTCTTCCCGAAGAATTTCTCGTCCCCCAGAAGGACGTGATCCTTCAAATTCCATGAGAGACCCCAGCCGATCTCTGGAATGGACGTGGTTCCGAGAACCCACGGCCATTGCTTCCAGGACCCTCCTGTCGGGGTGTCCTGGCTGGACTACTCCACGCTGCCTATAGCCTTCCAGACAGGGCACCCCTTAGATCCAGGACTCTATAAGACTGCATTGTTCTGAACCCAAGTTCGCTCTAGAGCTCCAACCAGATCCTCAGACTGGTGGTATTCGACCCCCCTGGCACCCACCCCAACCACGGAACCTCAGGAGGTTGGAGCCCTTGGCGGGTCTAACCACCTTCTGAGGATATGGTTGGAGCCCTATAGTTGATTCCTTCAATCCGCCCCCCAAGTTCCTTTGGACCTCGCTGCGGTGAAGGACCACCGTCCCGCCACTCCGGGCGTGAGAACTCGGCTCGCCGCGAGAAAAGCGCTCCGCTCGGCCGAGGTGACGTTGCAAGAGTTGGAGCTCATCGCGGGCACCACGGACTGCTGCAGACGTGAAGGCCGGACGCGGCACGTGCCGCGGCACGTTGCCCGCGGCACGTGGCGCGCGCGACCCGGACAGCTCTCCACGGGTGTCGGACATCAGCAGGATGTGTGGGGGGGGACATCGTTCTCCCCGCAACGGCGAACGATGGAACGCAGACACGAGAGAAGTCTGGGAATGTGCCCAGTTGATGTGATTTGGGGGGGCGGATTCTGAGCAGGTGCTGGCAGGTGAGCCCCACAGATTCACAGGCCATGGGGCTACAAACCAACTTGGTGCCTGGTCTATAAGTCGAGAGCATTCAACAGGTTTGCCCAGGCGGCTCAGCCGGTAGAGATGGATGCTATGACTTCTTCTGATGAGCAGAAAGGCCCCGGATTTGAGCCCTTTAGCGGGGACACCAAAGACCGGCCTAATTCTGACCGTATGACATTGGAAAAAACAGCGTGTACATCGTGGTGTTTTGATGTGTTTTTGTTTGCTGAGTGGCTGTTGGACCCAATGGAAGCCTTTGACAGTTTGACCGTGCTTGATGTACAGCTCGTTTTTGCCATAGACGGCGCTCGTTTTCGCCATCTGGCACCGTCCTTCAAGCAATTGAGGTAGAAATCGCCCGGTGGATCGAACGTGGCACTGTCCTCAAAACGTGGGTAGCACAATCCATCTACCCCGCTGAGTGAAGGCTCACATGGACCCCGAAAAAAACCACGAACGGTGCAGCGACCGAGGAAAACATCGGGGGTTTCAGGGTCCATGTTGCTTGTCACGGGGAGCCTCTTAAACGACATCTTCGGCTTTGTGTGCCACCTCTGAAAACCACTGCCCCAAAGCACGGTGTCCACACACGATGTCCCTCTTGAAATAGCATTTTGACCCGGTTGATCCACATTTGGACCTCAAGAGGTCTCAGGGTAAGAAACCATCCCCAACTTGGCATGTCCCTCTTGGCTCGCAAACTCTCCTCGCACTCGCAAACCAGCGTTCCAGCCCGCCAGGCTGGATGGCAGATGGCAAGCTCCTCCAGCCGCACGAGGTGAACTTATATCATTTCAACTACGCCGCTTGGTCACCGCTTGGTCTCCCAAATCGGAAACAACATCCCTGAATCGAGTTCATGCTCCCCCTTGCTCGCCCTTGCTCTGACGAGCAAAAAAGAACGCTGCTGATCCCCTGGTCCTGGTCCAAGATGTCATCAGGATTGTCAGATGATCGACTGAGACATCTGCAGTTCTACTCAATGTGGAACAACTAAAAAGGTTGAAACCAGGGGTCACATGGAGTTGGGTGGTGTTTGCTCTCATCCAGTGAGTGGAGTAGCTGTGCACCCCTAACCTCCAAGTTAAGCGCCCCGTCTTGTGACTCCTGGTAGATGTTCCTTGCGGGTCGTAGGTTGCTTGTTATCGTGTCGTTCTTCCACCTATGTGGACGTCCAGAGAGCCGATGTAGGTGGCAAAGGTCATGAGAGGTTGAACACTCCCAGAACCTATACCTGGACCTGAAACAGGGCTGTCCTGGACCTGGAGGTCCCTGAATCGTGGTGTAGGGGCGAAACCAACCAGGTGACCCGGAATGAAGGTGCTGGTATACATACTATCTCAGAGTCGTCGTCACCATCAGCGTCGTCCTCCACCTCCAAAATGGACCAGGCCCCCCAAACATGGTGACCGAGGTATTCGCTGTGCTGCCGTTCCGCCAGTCCAGCTCCGTGACTCAGGAACACATCCTGCCCCAAACAGCTCCTGACAGTGGGATCTTACTGAAGTCTATGAAGGTGGAGTCTCCGGTTCAGCCACTGGGCGTTCCGAAACTGCAGCCTTCTTTTTCGAGCACCCAGACCATCGATGTTTTAGGCTTTTTTTTGTGAATGGTGAGTGACTGATGGCGACAGAGATGACCAAGAAAAAACCTCTTTGGGTGGTATGTTTGCTCCTCATAGGTTAACCATTGGTTGTGAAAGGTTGTACCTTTTAAGGCTTTGTCAACTACCCATAGTTTGGCGACCTTGAAGTTTCAAGCACTTAACATATTGATAGCCCCTTCGATGTGGTTCGGGATGTCCATTAACCACCCGACTGTGGGTCCTGGTAGGACATACATGGAAATCACAGGACCGTTTTGGGCTTCCAGCTGCATGTCTTTCGCTGGGTCGAGCCCGGCGTCAACGCTTCATTCGCGCGCGGCGCGCCGAGGCTGGGCGACATCATCGTGCAATGCGACGCGGAGGGCGAGACCAAAAGGCCCCCGCAGGCATGCGGCACGGTGCTGAGGGTGGAGAAGCAGGCGGAGACTTCGGTGCAAAGGATCGGAGTCCGGATCCGAAGCATGGGGGAAGGGGTCGAAGCCTTTAGTTCGGATTTGGGGATGTACCCGAACCAAACCCTTGTTTTTGAGGGTGAGGATCCTTAGGGAAGTTGCAATCAGCACTGGAAAGTGGACGGCTCGGATTGTTTGAGGACAAACTTGCAATCACCACCGGTAAGATGACAGCTCGGATCTTTTTAAGACAAACTTGCAATTTGCATTAACGAGCTGACAGCTCAGGTTCTTAAAGACAAACTTGCAATCAGCGCTAGTGAGATGAAAGCTCAGATTGTTTGAAGACAAATTTCAATCGTCACTAGTGAGATGGCAGCTCAGACCGTTGCAATACAAACTTGCAATCAGCACTGCCACCAATAGTGAGATGACAGATGTTTGTTCTTGGGTCGGAGACTTCGTGTTGCGATGCACTTTGCGGTGCTAAACCCGGTGCATCCTAAACAGGAGAAATGATGAGAAATGCAATTCCACGGGGGATGCGATGGGACTACAGGTGCCGGAAAGATGGTGAAGAACCTCAAGCGGGCACATACACTTCCGGCTTCCTTTCACACTGGGGCACATGACTTCTCAGTTTAGGTGCCAGTCTAATAGGTTGGTCAAGTGGGACACCTGAAAGACTGAGGAAAACCTGCTCACTCTGGCCGTCAAGATACACAAGGGCCGCTTCACGACCTCTGCCCTGGATGGGCTCATTCGCATCGGTGGGCGAGAGCCGTGCGGCGTTCCCAAGGAGAGATGTGAGCGTTGGATGTGCAGATGTAGCGGAGGATTGAATTCTTGGGCGTACTCAGGAGGTAAGTGGATCACCTGCGGATCACCGGTTTTTTCCCCAAAGAGTGTGGTCACACGGGGTTCTTACAGGTGTGGAGCACCGCGGTGTCTAATCTATGGAATCCGTCCGACCGAACGGGAAGGACAGGAACGAGGGGTCAGTGAAAAATGCCATCCTGAAGAATCAAGGACCCTCAAAGGTGAAGGTTTTGAGAGTCCAAACCCCTGCCATGCAGGGTCAAAACCCTCCATAGGAGGGTCCAAGGATCCTTAGGGATAAACACCTGCACCTGACTTCAAGTGCCTTAGAAAATGGGACATAGACCATAGACCCAATTTTCTAAAATGCAAACTGAGACTCCAGGTGGACCTGTGTTCGTTGCAATGGAGATGTCTTTCAATGTTGCTCCCCCCCCATTCCACGTCATGCCGCATCTTCTCGCGTTGAGGAGATCAGCTCTGAGGGCTCGATTAGCTACAAGGAGCTACTCTCATCGGTGGCACGATTACCAGCTTGGTACTGCCACCCGGCTGCGCACGGCCACTACAGGCACCTGCGGTACTGCCAAGGCCTGGCAGCAGCTTCACCAAAGCATCCGACCTTAAAGAAATGATGTGTCAGGACCCTTTTTTGATGCACAGGCGGAATGGGAACCACGGCTAGCTCATCCAATGGTTTTGTTTGGGTTCCGCCAACTCCAATCCGAAAGTAGGAATTCGTCACCTTCCAGCACCAGCCAGTTGAGGTGATTACCCTGACCATCCCAAGAACGCTCCTGTCCCGCCCCATCTCCTCAGGTGACCGGTGGTTGGACCCCCCCAAGATAACCATCGAACCTCAGGAGGGGGTGGCCGAACAGAGCCTAATGGGCTATGCTTACCATCCAATGACCATCCGAGAACGGATGTGCCCGACCTCAAGGTGGTGATGTTGGATCCAGTTTCTGGGACGTTGGATCCAGCAGATCATGTGTTCGCAGCGAGCCAACTGGGCGCCGTCCATGGAAAGTCTTAAGGACGAATTGCAAGCATCCAGCAACTTCAGCATCTTCGGGGCCCTCCAAATCCAGCCCTAGACTTCTTAGACCATTAATAAAATGGCAACGACCTGGTTTTTGTAGTGTAAAATCCTTCGTTGATTCAGGATGACCCGCCTATCTAATTATAATGGTTGGTCAGGAAGCCAAACGGGCAGGGGCCAATCAGTTCGGATGCGGGATGATTGCATCACCCTGTTGGGATGAACCCGGTTCCGCGAACCCAAGCCCTCAAAGGGCCCCGAAATCAATCCGGATCCCGACTCTCGAAGGCGGAGTGGATGGGTCCAAGGATGGGTCCGAAAGGAATTGCCAGGTGTTCCTTGACCCAACAGAGGTGGACAGTGACCTGAACTAGGACCCGGAACACCTGGGGTACACTGGGATAGCCTAGTGACCTGAACAGAGGTATCCTGTGACCTTAACTAGGACCCGGAACACCTGGGGGTACCCAACTGGGATAGCCGAACGTTCGGGTTTTTCAACCTCTGCTGGCTAGGATGCCAACAACCATGAAGGTTTGATGGTCTGAATCCCAAAGAACCATTGTTTTTTACGGATTTTTACACACCACCAGCTCAACAGTTCTTTTAATGGTCGAACTGAAGGCTAGGGTTTGCATTGATGAGCTGACGGTGAGCCCCATGGGCCATAAATCCCGTCAATGGGTGCTTGTCATGCTTCGGTAGAAACGGCTCTTATGGATGATCACACTCATCCTCCATCATCCTCCGGTACATCCTTATGTTCATATTGCTGCTCTATACCTTATGTTCATACCTCGTATGGAGGGGTCTGGGGTCTCAAATCCCTAGGATTTGAGGGACCAGTCGGGTTGTGAACGGAGCGTCTGGGTGCTTCAGCAAATCCGGTCTGGCGCCGACACGTCGACTGTTTCCACGCTGGACACGGTCGAGGCTCTCATTGGTGGGGCGAACCCATCCGTTCCTTCGTATCCTGCTGCAAGCGGCACGGCTACTTGCGGGGCTTGACGCTGCATGGCAGTGGCACGTACTGGGTCTGTGGCTATGCGAATCGCCAGCATGAGCTACAACAAGAGATCGGTCTCTTGGTCTCTTCCGTGCGCGGCGCGGTGGTTTCGCGGTCGGTTCGGTGGGTGTCGGACGAAGAATCCGTGGAAGACACGGCCCGGGGTCGGCAGGTTGGAAGCGGCAGGTTGGAAGCACTGGTTGGTTTCCTCTACAGGTGGGCTTCACAGCCAGCTCATGGAGTGGTCTCGGCCTGTGAACTCGGGTTGAGCTAGGCTTCTGGAGTTGGGTCAGCTGGAAAAGCCTGTGTCCTTCGGTGGTATTCTATCCAGGTGTACTGTCCGTGGATCACGAGGTCACCTTCTTGGTCGATTCATATATGGATTCATGTCCTATGAAGAGATTCAGGTGAACCTCCCTGGACCTTCAAAGGGGTGTCCTGTCTGGAGGTCCCTTATGTGTAGGGGCTTCCAGCCAGGTGACCCCTTTGAAGGTGCTGGTTGGTAATCATGCTTTATTCTTTTCCAGAGAAACTGAGTGGGGGGTGGTCCGGCACTAGAAGGATGGGTCACGGTCTGTTGTGTCCCATGGGTGTTGGGGGGGTCCACCACCCAAAAAGAAGACTTCTTGGACCCGAAACCTACCGTCATCGGCTCGCGTCCTCCTCGGCGGCTTGGGGTCTCAACCTTCACTCCTCGAGCCGCGTTCGTTCGACCACGTGCGTTCGTTCGTGCCCGGCGTGGTTCGCTGCGCGGCTTGGTCTGGCCGAGGCAGCGACTTGAAGGACTCTTCCTTTTACCAAGCTTTGCAGGTGGCAGATGGGATCTTGTTGCTTCTCGGACTTTCGAAACGATCGTTGGAAACTGTTTGGTCCACCGGTGAAGACAAGGACTGAGCATCGCCAGACCTGGACTTCAGTCCGTGGAGGAGACCTGTTTTGGAATAGTGGTGGCACCCAACGAAACACGAACAGGTAGAAAGAGGTTGACGGTGAACTCTTTTCTGCTCCAGGGGAGCTGAAGGAGTGCTACATGGATTGTCAGGCCGGAGTCAAATGGATTAATCCCTGCAGGTCACCTGTTGTTGGGATCGGGGCACCCCACTCAACCGCTGAAGCGGAAGCTCCGGGAAGTCCAGACGTCCCCACGGATCAGTCCCAAGTCCAGTCAGATCGTCCAGGCCTACTGGAAGCGCCTATACTCAATGACCAGAAGCCAGAAGGGTTTGGTTCCGAAAAAAGCCGTAGAAGCCCACATGGACATTCCGTAAGTATTGTTATGGACCCTGCCTGAAAAATCAAGTATTCCAGGGGAGCATGTATTCCCTTTAGTAGTTATTCCTGTGTATGTGGATATAGGGGGTCTAAGGTAGGAGCCATATTATGGCCCCACTCCTTCACTGGACATGTGAGGGTCCGCGTGGTGGTCCTTTACTGGGGATCTTCCCTTAGTGGTCGCACATGCCTGCCCAGCTGGAGCTCAAATAGCACTTACTACGTGGATGTTCTTCCAGCGCCTACAATGGCGACACCCTGATTTGCCTTTGGTTCGTACAGATTTTGGGGTTACATGGTATGAGTTGGTTGTACACTATACTCTATATGCTGGACGTTGCCTTCCCATTTGGATTCGACATGACAACCAAAGTTTCGCATGGCCATATGCCTTTGATTCCCTCGAGGTCGCTATCCAGAAGCCCGAGGTTAAAAGTTTGTGGCATCAAGCGCATAACTTTCGGGCGGTCGTTCAGTATCTCGAGAGTACCATGAAATGTCACCTGTATCCTCCCTATAAGAAAACGAAGGCTTCAACTGTGGTTCGCATGGGGTTTCATCGGAGCCTAACCGGAGGCATAGCCTCTCGACCGAATTTGTTTCAGAAAGACATTGCTTTGCACCTCTTGCGTGACTATTCGGCACAAGCTGGTCAGCCATATCCCTTGAATGTCCGTATTCCATTGGTCCCAGTGTTGACCCATGCCAGATGAGCTTCCAGTTGATAAACCATTTCTAGATCGCCATAACCTTTACCAGCGAGTTCGCAAGTGCATCCGAACTGGCGGAGACGTTCGCAACCTTGCCTTTCGTTAGATAATTCAATTTGTACAAATTAGGAATTGACGGAGACGGTTTACTTTCTTAGTGGCGTGAGTCTCTTGCTCTTGCATGTTTGTGTTACATGGCATTTGTGTACATTCTACCCTCCAATACCCCCTGGATAGGGAAGGTTTGTGAGGAGCGCCTCAGACTGGAGCGCAAGCTGTGTGTGTGGTATGTGAAAACCTTTCTTTATCATGGTTTTGAGGGCCCCTGGTATGTTCCAGTAAATAATGACATGACCCGACCACCAAACACCTGCGCCCGCTCATGCGCCGCCGAGGATCCTCGATCAAGAGGCCAAGCCGTTTTCGAGGATTTGGTGCCCCTTGGCAGGGATCGATTGCCTCGAAAGGACTCGAGATATCTCGACCAGGAGTCATGTTCGACGGGGTGCGATCCATGGAGGAAGTCGGGATGCCCAGCTACTCCACTCACATCCACTCACTGGATGGGGCCAACCACTCCTTTGTGACTCGGAGATCTTTCTTTGCGAGACTTCTTCCCCATGAAGAACAGCAACCACCGGTTTTCCGAACTGGCTCAAGAGCCCCAAAAATGAGCGAGGACATGTCGCTACGATGTCGCAAGTGATGTCGGACCTCATTTCATGGCGCGCCCCACTGTCGCGATCGAAGGAACCATATATATCCCAGGCGCTCCATGTATGCCTATATATACCTTGTGCCTCCAAACACGACAAAAACGTAGGGTTCATCCCAAAGCACGAGGTTCTTGGAGGAAACACGAGGTTTCCCATTTTGGTGTTTTTTCCGCCCATGCCATCTTCGAAGGCCGGGCCACAGGAACCTGAATTCAAACTCCAAAAGCCCAGGTTGATGATCAGAATGAAAAAAATATCAACCAAAAATGCAACTATTGTACTCCCCTAAAACCCGTGAAAAAAACACGGGTTGTCACGGTATAATCAGGGGTTTGTCACGGGTTCGTCACGGGTTTGGGAAACACGATGTTTTTCTGAAAACCAGAGGTTTTTCATCCAAAATCACGGGTTGACACGGGATAATCACGGGTTTGACACGGGTTTGTCACGGGTTATCGGAGCTCTCAGTCACGGACCCGAACTTTTCCTGACAAGAGTGTTGAATGATTTAACATATTGTGAAAAATGTGTTGACCACGGAAAATTTGACAAGTCGGCGGGAGAAAATGAATATGGAGCACCTGACATGGCTATCGAGGGTTTTGGGGCAAAACACGAGGATTTGGTTAAAAACCCGAGGTTTTCCCTTATGCCACGGCTAAACCCGAGGTTTGTTTTCAAACCCGACAAATTTGTAGGGTTCAGATGCTCAGGGTATGCCTATATGGGGTGGTTTGGGGGTGTTGCAGAGTCAGCGGTGGCGTGTGATTTCCACTGCGCGTCTTTCCTCCACCGGTCTCCGCAGCGTATCCACTGCGGCCTGGGGCCTTCCAGGACTTCGCAGCCGCCCTAAGGATCCGCACCCTCAAAAACAAGGGTTTTGAGGGTACAAACCCCTTCTAAGGAGGGTCCAAGGATCCTTATAAGGGCGCTCTTCTTTGGGGTTCGAAGGTAGGTGTTCGGGTGTTGGTTCGAAGGTAGGCCGACTGCGATCCCCAGATTCCCGCTGCCAGGACTGCCAGGACGGACTGCCGAGAGTTCCGGCCAGGGGTGGTGCCAGGGGGGCGAATGGGTCAGCATTTATGGCAGTCCCATGGAGCGTCTTGGAGCTGGGTGTAAGTGGCCGATTCAACACCTATCCCAGACACGACCTGTCTGGGACTGTGCCGACCCAGAAAGACCTCCTGAACCACCCCTGGCTGGCAAATATATGAGTATATATGGCAGTCCCATGGGTTGTGGGAATGTTCGAACATCACCCAGACACTCCATGGAATATATGCCGATCCATTGACCCCTCTGGCACCCCAACGTCGACCCGCCATGAATCGGCAAGACGTCCAAACCAACCACTGCACGAGCTGCAAGCAAAGGTGCTTGCTGCTAGTTCGAAGGGCCTGGAGTCCCAGCCATTTCCTAAATGATGTCAACGCCGGATTGGAACAGCCAGAACTGTTTCTGGGTGGGGCTGGCTTTCCAGGCGGTGGTCATTCAGTCAAACTACCTTAGCCTCGCGCTCAGGTGGGAAAAACTCCTAGCCTTCCAAGATGATGAAAAAAGAACGGTTGAACTGGTTTTTGGTGGTTTTTGTGATGTAAAATCCATAAAATCCTATAAAATCCTTAGCAAACACCTTAAACCCAACATTCCTTAGGATTGAAGTTCACTTCATGGTGAGCCGGTGGCGCCTTGTTTGGGCTCCTGCCACTGAGGCGACTACGAGCTCTACGCCGCGATCACGGACCCCGCGAAGGACTTCGACCTGGTGACGGCCACCGAGGGCGTGGCCTTGGGTCCCCAAGCGCTGATGCTCAGCAAGAATTTGCTGCCACAGGACCCGGGAAACGACCGGGGGCCGAGAGGAGAGAGGAGAGAGGAGAGGGGCCTGAGCTGCGAAGGTCTATTCCGCCGAAGGCGACCTATCCTAGAGAGAGAGAGAGAGAGAGGGGGGAGACCGCTTCTTTTTCAACACCCAGCGGTGTCATGGGCGGAACAGCGAAGAAACAGTGGTGTTTCTTCAGTGGCTGGGGTAGGAACGTTCGTACACAGTTGTGTGCGATTGGTCGCGCCGGCGCATGCAATCGCATGCACCAGGATGATGTTTCCAGGTGCCAGTTCACGAACAGATGCCATTCGGCATTCTTATTTTTGTAGATTTGCGAATAGCCTATCTTTAACGAGCGTTGGTTATTCAAACAGCTTCCTGAGAGCCAATCTCTATTTCTAGAATGACTTGTCGCAACCCTCCCCATCCTGGAAGTTGCAACGACGTGCTCCAATTGTCCAGATTCAGAAGTCATCCGTGACCCAAAAGCCTGTTGCATACATCGGTAGACCTGGTCTGGCTCAGGAGAGAAATAAGTGAACAGTCCATTTGCAGGAGAAGAGTTCGTTACTTCTTAAGAGGGTGGCATGGTCAAAAGGATTTACTTTGGGTTATAAAAACGTGTCGAAATCATGTTGGAACAAATTACTTCGATTAGACATTCATATCCTTTGTGATTTCCAACACAAGATTCAAGTGGATCACATATGTTGGAAGATCAGCACGACCGTCGAATCTCGTTCTGACTTGTTGCTGTTCTTGTGTGATATATGGTCAAACACATATCTCAAGCCTCTCCTTTGCCGGAACAAAAAAAGCCGCGTGGATGTCCCTCAAGAGAACGGTATTTTGGTGAAACTGCAGCATCTCACCCCCAACCATCCTAAAATATCCTAAAGCCTATGGGACCCAAAAGGAGCTCTCACTCCAAACCGACCTTTTCGTGCCACGTCTCGCCCGATGCCAGGAGTCCGCGGTGGCCAAATCCGTGGCGCGGTCTGAGGGTCCCGGTCGTGACCACTATACCTGGTAACCAGTGGTTCCAAAAGACTAAAACCATACCCTATAGGGATCCAAGTACTCTCTCAGAAGGTACGACTGGACCCTGCAAACCTACATAACAGTGTCTCCAATCACATTCTGAGAAGGTACGACTGGATCCCTAGGGATAGACCGGTTCCGAATCCCTGGTTCCTTAGTACTCGTGGGAACTGCCTGGGATCCACTGGGAAAGATGCATTGTGGGAACCCCTACCTACCAGGATCATCCAGTCTGGGTGTCCAGACTACCCTATTTACAGGTCTCCGGCACCCGTTGCAAGTGCTAGGAATATAATACTATAGGCCTATATAACTTGCTATAGTAGTGCAAATATGTAGTTCTTCAAGGGAGAACTTGAAGAATTTGTTGGGTACCGTGGTATCCGGGACTTGAACTGGTATTGAACAAATTCCACTTCTCCCGATGGGAGGGACCGTGCATGAGTCAAAAAGACGAGGCTGTGGGTGAGGCCATTGAACAGACGAGGCCGTTGGGCGAATCAGGCCGCTTCAGTGCTTCAAGTCCGCCAGGTTCTTTCTGGTATTGAAGAGCACGGTCTAGACCACCCGGTCTGCACCCCGTGCGGGAAGAGCCAAACTCAGCCACCCCATGCTGGGGGGACCTAGACAGGAAAATGATGGAAAATGCCCCACGCATCTTGGATGCCAGTGAAGTCAGCTGGTCAGCTGGCAGCTATCTGAAAGATCTTGCCCTTCGATCTAGTTCACCAGACTGTTCAAGTTTCTTGTCCAGGCTTGACCCTTTTTCTATGAAAAGTCTTCCAAAGGCTCAAACCTGCCTTTTCTGCTGTGTGATTTTTTCCTTCGACACACAGAACAGACAGAACAGACAGAGACAGAACCAGAACAGCCGGGCAGCCAGGGCAGCCAGGCAGACCTTCCTGTTTCGATCATGCCCGAGGTTCGCGAGCAGAACTTCCCCATCTCCTTCCTCCTGCGTGGACTGTCCGTGCGCTTGGAGGATGGCGAGGCCACCGTCGAGGCGGGCCTGCCGGGTGTTCAGCACGGCTGACCCGAAACTGACCCAGAGGGTCGGACTGCCATATAGACCTACCAGGGGTCCCACAAACCAGCAAAAACCTGGTCTTCCCTAGCAAAAAACACCAGACGCTCCATGGGACTGCCATAAATGCCGACCCATTGGCCCCCCTGGCACCACCCCAACTGATCGGCATCTATGGCAGTCCGAGCGTTTGGGACTGGATCTTGCGAGACTCCGAGCCACTTCACCGCTGGGATGACCCATGCCCGGCTTGACTTCCGTTCGACCATTTTAAAAAAGGTAACGACCTGGTTTCTGTAGTGTAAAATCCTTAGTTGGTTCGGGATGACCAGCCTATGAATTCAATGGTGGGCCCGTTTGGGCACTGGCCTTGGGGAGGGCATGGGGGCAGGGCCAGGAAGAGGCCGCGCGCCGCGCGTGGCTTGAGGCGGACAAAATGAAGATCTTGAGTGCAATGGCCCCTTGGCGTATGAAGACACCGGAGTCCGGACTTATCAAAAGAATGGTCCAGTCATACTCTCCCTAGAACTAACATGGAAGCACCACCTGTTTGCAATGGATTTCATGGTCTTCCTTATGGGTTTACTAACTCCACTTCGATGTTAGTTCCAGGGAGTGTAGGTGGTCCCATGTCAAGAACCTTCCATATATAACTTCCTTACTTTAGTCGCTCAACACCAATCGTCGAGCTGGACGACTTCTAGGGAATTCAATATGCCCCGGCGCGACCCTGGACTCTGCTAAGTAGGGGCCGGACCCGAATCCTCTGGCGGGGTCCGGACCCTCAAATCCCTAAGGTTTGAGGGACCAAGAGCTGTGAAAGGAGCGTTTGGGTGGTTCAATATCGGAATATCATGGGATGCGGACCGGTCGGTCAGTACGTACGTAGGCATGTTCTGAACCACGAGCTACGTCGACGTTTGATTCCGTTGGCTTGTTTGTTGTTCAAGTTGCTGACCAATGGTTGTATAATGTTGTGTTGCATTGTGTTGCTATATAAAGAAACCCAGAACAAGGATCATGCTTCAGGATTTGAAGAGGAAACACGCAGGACGCAGGACATAGGGAGCATCGTCCTCAACGTTGTTGATGAGTTTGGATGGAGGGGAGCCGTGTGATCTTGCCATAGCTGGCAGCTTTTACATAATTACAACACGAAAGCCAGCCTTCGTGGAAGGCGCCAGCCTTCGTTGTGTTTGGCGAACGAAGTGAGTAAGTAGGGGGGGTCTGGGGGCATGGTCCGAGAATGGGCAACGTAAACTCCAAATTAGGTGGTGTTTAGGGGTCCACCGAAGTAAGGTTTTTGAGATTGTTTTGAGAGGGTGGTGATGCAAGAAATGCAATTTGTATCATTTGCATCATTCGAATGGTAAGGTGTAGTTTTACAGAGGCCGATGGTAACGCTGGCTTTCGTTTTGCAGCTTCTCAGGTTGGTTTCAGAGTAGACGGCGCAGACCTCAAGATGTCCTTTAGATGGGTTTCCATAAACCACCTAACTTGGGGATTGTGCCATCTACTCTGCAACCACTATAATTGTCCAGCTGTGAGGTGTTTCAAGACAACTCAGCCACATGCTGCTGGTGTCCCAAAACAGCCAAGCCAGGCCACGCAGAAAGCGCTTTTTGGACGGGTTGCCATGTTCCGCGGTGCCGGCGTCGAGGCAGAAAACGCCAACTCTTCTGACGTCGAACCGACTTAGAAGGGGCTTCTGAGAGAGGTTGAACGGCCTACACGCCCATCCCATACCTAGATCTTCCAACTGTGCAAAATGTATGCCTTTTGGTTGATTTTGGAAGATCCAGGTATGTACCACTACACTCCACGCGACTGCCAGTCCGGACTGCCGACCCATTGACCCCCCTGGCACCACCCCTGGCCGGAACTCTCGGCAGTCCTATGACCGGTCTCTCGGTTCGGGCTTTTGGGGCGAACGGTGACAGCCGCCACTTACAGCACTGATGACGGCCCGAGGCTGGAGGGAACTTGAATAGCTCGCGCGGGCAAATGCTCTTGGAGAAGAACCTGAAGCATGCGAACGATACACTGCATTCCACGCTCGCCGTGCTTCTTGGTGCTCGCATGTGCTCATGTGCTCGCTTTGCTTCTTGGTGTGTCAGAGTTCCCTTGAAAAGCAAAGCAGTGTACCTCATACGATGGTAAGTCCTCAAAAACGTTGGTGTGTGTATTTGATCCACGTGGTTCTTCAACATAAGCCGGGCGGAGACGAGTGGGCGAGACTGAGACATGAGTTTTGCCCAAACGGTGGATGCTTGTGCCTGGTTTTGCCTGGTTTTTTCCGAACTGGGTGAATCTCCAAACCTAGGGTAATATGTGTTGTTCCCCGCTTGAGCAGCAAATCATTCGGTGAGTAGCTCAGCCAAAGTTCCCAAACAGTCTGGGCGAACCTCTAGGAGGTTCTTATGGTCAAGCATTTTTGGGGGGTCTCTTCATTTTGGAGTGGAAAAAGCTTAACTTCTTTTTTCCAGCAAAACTGAAGGAGTCAGTCATCGGGGTCTCTTGCTGGGACAGTAGGTTCTTTGGGGGAGGAATACCATTGGTTCGAAGTACATATAATTGGTGCTCCATATTGCTTCCATTGTTTCACAATACCCCCAACTGTTTACGGAACATGTCCCTTTCGACCAGTTCGCCGTTCCACTCCTTTCGAACCGCCGTTCCGCCGCTGAGGTTAGCATGGCCCCAAGCCATGCAGCGGGGGCTCTTGGGTGTCTCGGTCGATTGGGACTTGGACAGGTGGCGGACAAAGCGCCTGTTGGTATAGAGCAAAGTGGTCTTCCAGGGGCCTAGGTTCCACTTCTATTTTAGTGAGTCACAGGACCAGCCGCCAGGGATGGTGACCCAGATTTTGTCCCAAGAAGGAACTCTTTGCATAGTCGCAGCCCTCACAGACCTCATTCAGGAGCGACAGTCCTCACGTGGCATCATCTTTACAAGTTCTTTCCAGTCCCAATCGTGTTTCCCCAACGCTCCCAGCGTTCGACGGTGGGCACAGACCCGTGTTTCCCCGAAGTTTCCCACCTCCGCCCCGGACGTTTGGGTTGATTCAGGTGAGATGAAGCTGGCGGAGGCCTTGTCAGCAGATGTGGGCCGAGCAGCTCGGTTCTGGTCGCCGAACGCGCGGGGAGGAGGAGTTCGTGAGGATTGATGAATCACCCCATACGATTCGGGTCTGACCCCTCCAAAGGATTCGGGTTGTCGCTCGCGTTTGGGCAAGAGGGCAAGAGACATCAAGAGTGTATAGCTTGTAGATTGACACCAGCGAATGAGCGGTTGCTCTGGAAACGCAGCGGCGGCAAGCAGTTTCCCACCCCCGACGCTGGCGAGATGGGGGCAGTGAAGGTAAAGGAGATCCCTCATGACCCTTCCTCCCACAAAAATGGCAGTGAACAATCCTTTGTTGGTAGAGGAAATAGGGTTTTTTCCATGTGTTTTTCCATGTGTTCACTGCTTCACTATGCTTCACTTTTCTGTGACATTCATGTTTCTCCCGCTGCTCTTGTTGCGTTTCCTTCGTCTTGGCACGCTGTTTTCACAGTGCTCCCCTGCTAAACCTTATAACCACCTTTTGTTGTCCATGTCGCTAATTGTTGTCTTTTGGTATGCAAGGACGAGAATTGTTGTCAGGGACGTGTTTCACCGTAATCGCTGAACTTGGTCTTTTCACAACACTCAAATATATCAATAGTATTTAGGCTTTGGACGTGAAAAACCGTTCAGCATTTCAAAAGGACGTAAATTCACAAGATGGACGTAAATGTTGCGAGAACTTGCAAAAAGCTATCTTTTAGCATCCTGGACTGGAATTGGTATCTATCCAGGGTAGCAGGCCCTGATTGTTTGTGAAAGACTCGTGCGACACGTGAGGAATAATGAAATGGATCCTGAGGCATCTACCAGGACCTTCCAACAGGTCCCCACCTGCGACTTGAAAAAGTCTAAAAATGCCTCCATTTCGGAGACCTGTTGGTAATACCTTAGAGCACTTGTTCCTAGTAGCTTCTGGTTACTAGTAGTAAGGCACTTGTTACTAGAAGCGATGCACTTGTTCCGTTCGTAGCTATTTGTTCCTAATTTACAGGGGTGGTGAAGTGACCATTCCCTTGAAAGACTCGTTGGTCGTCTACTGCGTGTTCCGCCCAGAGTCCTAGGAGCGCTTGGAGCTGAGCCTGGCGCATTTCGAGGTGCAGAGCGCCTGCCCCTCCCACGTCACATCCACTCCTCAGGACAATTGAAAGCCATTCCTGGAGGAACTGGTGTAGATGTACATGTCAAATGGAGCACCCCCCCAAAATCAAAAGAAAGAAGAAAACAGAGGCGCCATCAATCCAGCCAACTCTTCCACGATCTTCAACGCCCTCTATATGGACACTTCTTGGGCAGAACCCCTCTCAGCACCCTGTTCTGTTCTTCCCTCCGGTATGTCCTACCCACCTCAGCCCACACCAGGCCAGTTGCACAGACGCCGCCATGAAGGTCCTGGCGACGGGGCTTCCGCCGAATCTCCAGGAACTGCGCTTGAGCTTCGAAGGATGTGCCTCAACCCGGGTGCGCGCTCGAGTCGGCCTTCGAAGCAGGCTGCGTCGACTCCTATAGACTTCCTTCCGCTCGACCAAAAACATGGGAACGACCTGGTTTTGTAGTGTACAATGGTGGTTCGGGATGACCTGGCTATTAAAACAATGGTGGTTCGACATCTAGGGCAATGTCGACTCTTGATGTCATCCATGTTCACCACACCCACGGGTGGTTCAAACCTCAGACCTTTGGGCGGGGTGGGGATGTCCTCAACCAAAACCTCCACCCTGCCAGTAGGGGCCCTCAGCTCACCATCAAAAACCTGGTTTTTCCCCTTTGCGAACACCTAGTTTTCATGGTCAACTGAGGGCCCCTGGTAGTCAAGGTAGGTCGATCTTCCATGTACTCCATTTTCTTCCATGTACTTGGATTGGTCGTGGCGTGTTTTGGGTACCAGGGGCCCCACAAACCATCAAAAGCAAGGTGTTTCCTCGCAAAAAACCTGGTCTTTCTATGTGAAACACCTTTCCTTTCTATGGTGAAAAACGCTTCGGGCCGTAGATGGATGTCCATCATCCAGACCCTTTCGCGACCGATTCCGACCTGGGACAGGCGCGACGGGCGTGAGGCGCGTTTGACAAGGCCCCAATGTTGTATATACCCTAACGCTCCAACTAGCTCCTGAGAAGGTGGTTGGGGTGGGTGCCAGGGGGTCTAACCACCTTCTGAGGATATGGTTGGAGCCCTAGGGATAAGACTCTATTCTCTGGGGTTCGAACTGGGAAGTCTCCCTATTTGTTCGAACACCCCTTATACTAATGCCCTAGGGATCCAAGTACCTTCTCAGGAGGTACTTGGACCCTTCAAACCTACATAACAGTGCCTCCAATCACCTTCTGAGAAGGCACTTGGATCCCTAGGGATGGTGTTTTGGAGGAACCCGATCAGGATCCGCACCCGAAACAAAACAAGGGTTTGGGTTCGGGGCCCCAAACCTTTGTGAACTAGAGGGTTCGACCCCTTCTAATTAAGGAGGGTCCGGACTCGGATCCTTGGGGTAAGACTCTTGATTGATAAACCCCCCTTGTGAAGTACTTACAGCAGTATGTAGCATTGCAGGATTGCAGTTCCTGTAGGATTGCAGTTGCAAGAGTCTACATTAAATGCACTGCATTTGCTCGGGCAATCGCTTTGTGTTAGGTAATCGCATCACTGATGCTGGTGTTTCAGCCCTGGTGTTTCTTGGAAGCAGTGAGCCAGCTGATATTTTAAGGAGTCAGTTCACCTTTAACCTTGTTTGGGGAGCGGGGAGATGGAAAGACGTTAAACCTTGTTTTCCTCGGGAAAACTGAAGGGGTCAGATTCAGATGCTATGCCACGGTCACGTCGGTTCTCCTTAGCCAAGTTTATAGCTGAGTGGATCTGTTTTTTTGGTGGTTTCAATTGGTTTCAAACATGTTTTTTAACCTATACATTTGGATGACTGAACCCACTGACTCGTTTTTTCATCTCTCTTTCGTTCAAACCACCTACCCCGAGAGCCGCGAACCCTTGGGTTGCTCCTTGACCGGTTTCGGCAGAATGGCTCTATTTCTGAGAGCCTCCAACCTACTAGCGATGGTCTTTGACTTGTAGGGTCTTGTTATTATAGTAGTAAGGATGCTCCTAGTAGTACGGCCAGGAGCCCCGTTCATAGCGTAGCTTCAAGAGACTGGTGGTTTCTGAGGAGACACCTGAACCCGAAGCTGAAGCACCTTGGGCCGGCAACCAGCGGCGGGAACGTCGCTCGTGTTACTATATGCATGGTGAATTTAAACAAGGGGGACCTCCCAACCAATGGGTAGACTGGTCTATCCTCTGGGGGTCGAACTGGGAGGTCTCCCTATTTTTAATACACACCCTTATGCATGGTGTTTTTGAGGAACCCTAAGGATCCGCACCTTCAAGAACAAGGGTTTTGAGGACAGTGACCTGAACTAGGACCCATCACCTGGGGTACCTATGGGATGGTCTATAGGGTCATTCAACCTTTGTTGGTCTACCAAAACCCCATCTTCCAGGTGGAATCATCAATCAGTGGCCGAGTCCAAAAAAACAATCATCCGATAAATGTAGGAGGCTCCCACAAGTAGTAGGGGCTTGTGGCAGTGATGCCTCCAGCACCTCCACTACAGCATGTAGGAGGCTCCCACAAGCCTCGAACTCCCGTGACGCAGCGAAGCATCCGACCGGAGCTCAAGACCGCCATGCATCCACCCTGAACCGCAGCTGAAAGGGTCGACTGCATGGAGTTCACTGGACGACTGCAGGGAACATGTCGCCTCGCCCACGTTGGGGAGCCCTCGACGTCGGCTGAAGAGCCGTCCATGTCGGTGCCGGAGTTTCGTTAGAGAAGGGGGAGGTGCGCAGCTTGCTGTCTCACCGAGAGGTACCTGCGAAAGAAGACTTCAACTGGAAGTCGTCAGTTCAAGACTATCACTTCAAGTTTGTTTTAACATGTAGTTGATGGACAGATGCATTGCGTATTTATTGTATAGTACTATAGCCACCATGTTTGATTGGAATACTGCCCGCTTCAGCGCGGTGATTGGAATAATACCCGCACGTCTCACAGATGAAAGAGGTAGAGTTTCGGAAAGGTCACAAGGAAAGGTCATCGTAAAACAGTGCTTTCAGAGCTGATGGCAATCTATCGCATCAAGTTGGGTGCTTCCGCCTATCGAAGCTCTGAAAGCATCTATCGCTCACAACACCGTCCGCATGGTGCAACTGTTGCCGGTCTGATCTGCATCGCAGCGGCGTAGCCGGCCAGACACATCTACGGCACGTTCCGCTTCGCACCCAAACCAACCCACCACACACCTGACCATGGAGTCCCCATTGAACCCATCAGGCTCATCTCGCGCTCAGGCTCCTCTACTTGGACTTCATCGGCTGCGCCCTTCTCACCGACTCGGCGATCCTCTCCCTGGCCCCTTCGGATGCACGGCGCGGTCGGGTCCAGTGCAGCGTCCGGGCGTTCGGGGCGTTCCCCAGTTCGTTGCGGTGTCGCGAAGGCCAAGCGACGAAGTCGGCTTCTCCAGTTCGTATAGGCGTCCGGAAGCTTGTCCACGGAACAACTTTCAGGGTGCGGAAACCGAAGAAGAAGCAAGAAGCAAGAAGCAGAAGCAGAAGAAGAAGAAGAAGAAGAGCGCAGTCCCAATTGAAGAAGGGCTCGAATTCTGCAGGATGATCTGTTGCGTCGAAGCGACCGGAGTGCAGCGGTGCCTTGTCCCCCTGCACAGACGACTGACCGGAAATGCAGGAGACCAAGTGCAGCCAGCAGTGTTCCTCACACACCAGTTTTTTTACAGAACGGGTGTCCCTGAGAGTGCGGTTTTCCATTGATTTGCAGATGTTTTTTCTGGAAATTTTGCACCAGATAGAGACAATGATTTGCAGATGTTTTTCTGTAACTTTTGCAACAGATAGAGACATTTCAGATAGGACCAGATGTTTTGAGTATTCAGAAATACCAAAAAATACAATTTTCCAGAGGTTTGGGAATTTGGTGGTTCCAAAAAACCTGGGGATTCCAAAAAACAAAAAAAACAAAAAAATCCCAAAAAAAAACAATATGTCAAAACTCTTTCTGCAGAAGCCCCAAGTGCAAAGACCTCTGGAAAATTGTTTTTTTTGTTTTTTTGTTGTTTTTTTGATTTTTTTTGGTTTTTTTGGTTTTTTGGAAACCCCAGGTTTTTTTGGAACCACCAAACAATACATGAATGGCAAAAAGTCATATCTAGTAAGCAGAGAATGGTTGTGGTGCAATATCACAAGAGCAAGGGATTTTAACAATGTATATTTTTCAAGAATGAAAACGCAGATGAAGAGATGCAACATAATTTAGTAATAGGATATTTAAAAAAAAAAAAAAGATTGAAGGACACAAAAAACAGGATAAAGTGGCTGATAGAGAAATAGATGAAGACAACTATATCAATGAACATTGATGTTTGCATCATTTCCATGGCTGTTGTGCCCACTGTGGAAAAAAATCTTATATTGAAATGAAGCAAGGCAAATTATCAAAAAACTTCACAGCACAAAGACTAGACAATACACTGTGCCATTCTGTGGATAATTGCACTCCATACTGTAAGTATTGTAATTGTAGTGCTCACTGATTATTTTTGAAAATATGGAAGTAAAGCAACAACTTTAAGAGATGCAAAACAAGATTCTGAAATAAAACTGTTTGATGTTGATTTTTTTTTAGAAAAAATGTTGAGATAAAGAAAAAACACAGAGGTCAGAACAGTTTTGTAGCACCTCATAATAATCATACCTACCAACTTGACATATTGTTTTTTTTTAACCTGATGACATTGAAGCAACACAACAATTTAGAGCGGGTTTAGTAATGATAGATGTTCTGAGTAAATATGCTGTGGTAGTGCCAATAAAGAGTAAAACCCCACCTGACATAATTGCTGGAACTATGGAAGGCTTAACCCCACCTGCCATAATTGCTGGAACTATGGAAGGCTTACACAAAATGGGAAAGAAGTGCAAACTTTTGTATACTGATGATGAAAGAGGTATAGCAAGTGCTGATGGTGAAGGCATTGAGGGCAAGAGGACATCCTGTCTTCGCTGAAAGATTTTTAGTATATTTAAGGGTAAACCATTCAAAAGAGTTGAAAATGATGAGAAGAAGGGAAAGCAGAATATACAATGGACTGACTACATATTAGAAATAATGCTGACTTATAATAAAGATGTGCATAGTGCAACAGGACTAACACCAAATGAAGCAAGGAAAGAGAAGAATGAGTTTAAAGCAAAATTGAATGTATCAGTGAAAGCAAGTAAATAAAATATGTATCCAACACTAGAGGTGGGAGACAGGGTTAAAATAATGAGGAAGAAAGCAATTACAGAGAAAGAGAGAACAAGTCATTTTTTACAAGGTGAATATACAGTAGAAAACATTGCAACAAAATTAGGAAAACAGTATCAAACATTAGAATGATTTAATCGTCCATTATTAAGGCACAAATTGTTAAAAATATAGTTTATTTAACAAACAGACATGTTCAAGGAAATCTATTTAAAGAGCTATTATGTTATAACACTACTAAAAATCATAAAACAGCGCACTCTGACAAACACCCGGACTCTTCTTTTAGTACCCTAGGGCTCCAAGTACCTCCTCAGGTATTTGGACCCTCCTGGCACCCACCCCAGTCCCACGGAACCTCAGGTTCAGTACGACTGGAGCCCTAGGGGTGTATACACACACCATATATCGTCTATGTCGCAGGCCAGCCAGCTGCAGGGTAGGGCACGCCGCCTCCGTTGAAACACGGAGGCGCCGCGCTCCCTCCTGAGGCCAAGCATTTGCCCAGCACTTTGATCGAACTCCAAGTCCATGTGGCGGGCTGCGAGGGTGTGGGCACGGCCGCCGTGCAGCTTCTCGACGGAGTCGCGTGCGTGGCGTGGGTGGAGTCGATGGAAAGAAGTCCGGGACGGACAACGGTCCTGAGGGTGGGACCCTTTGGTTTAACACACATAGATCTACCTGGACCCTCCAAAGTACCTTAGAACATGTAACATGACTCCATAAAAAGGTACTTGTACCAATTTTCCGAGGTACTTTGAGACTCCAGGTATAGTGGTTTAGCTTATAACATGCTTGAGGTGCTGCCATTCTTTTTATTGCTGTCGCATGATCAAGAAGAGGAGTAAAATACACACTCTGTATCATGTAATTAAGATCTTACCGGGAAAAAATATATGATGAGTTTTGAACGGCCACCGCCTGAGGGATGCGAGGGGTGCCAGATCTGAAGAGTTCTGATTTGCTGCTGCACCTGTTGGACACTCTTCGTTTCGTGCGTGAAGACTTTAGGGGGAGGGTAGTCCGATTCACGTGTTGGCGATTGTTTTCGGACATGTGCACAGCTTGCATTGGCCGATGTGTTTCAGACAGGGGGTTGACACATTGATTGATGGCAGTTTAATTCTGGATTGGTCGGCCCAGTAATCAACCTGCTTCACCCCATCAACTGCCTTGCTACAGGGGTAACCTGGCGGAACCTCCGCCCCAAGCCCACTACTTCTAGGGATCTCCTTGGACCCTCCCAGGTCCTTAAGACTCCCGAGGACCTTTCCAAACCCTTTGCCATCCGAAAAAAACCGCACCTTTCGATCGGTGCAGCTGCTTCCAGGCATTTGAAGCAACACTGGCCCGCCAGTCTGCATCAGTTCCGTGGGTCCTTCAAAGGCACGGCGGTGAACCGGAATTTCCGGAACTTCCAAGAGCTCCAAAGCTTTTGGACCTGATGGATCGAGGGGGCCGGAAAAAAATGGGCCTCAGTGGGTGGGTGGGCCCCAAAAAGAGGCTAGGGGACCTGTATAAATATTATATACATGTCGGCCGGCCTGTCGTGGTTCACGAGGGAAGGAGTATGTTCAAGTCTTCTGAGCGAAAAAAACCGGACCGACATTGGTCACCTAGCATGTCTCCAACGTGGCCGATGGTTGGACTCAAGGCCCTCTCCAGGTTTTCAAGGATCCCCAGGGTCCAAAAACGCGGAGGTTCGCACATGCATGCGAGACTGACCAGGTCAGGTCTCGCGGCTCCGCCGTGTGCCATGTTTCCCACACGGCGGGCCTAGGAGCTGGGGTCAAAGACCCCGGTGTCTTGCCGGCACGGCAGGGAGTGGATGAACAAGGATGAACAGACCACCATTTTCCCTTGGATTCCAACCACCACTACTCTAATAGGCTGAATCCCGAACAACCATTATTTTACTCAGGGTTTTACACTACAAAACCAGGTCGTTCCCATGTTGTTCATAGTCTAGGGACTTCTTCCTCCGGATTTTGGGGGAGCGAGGGCGGTGGGTCTCACATCTTTGGGGCGCTGGGTGCTGTGCCAACGTAGCGATGCCATAGCGATGCTTCCTACCCGTTTGGCCTCCAGTCGTACCTTCGTACCTTTGGAGGTTGGGTGCCATGTTCGGGTCTAAATACCTGAGGAGCTACGACTGGAGGTCTAAGGCTAGTAGCGATGCCCTTGCTCCGTTCGTAGTAAGGCCAGGAGCCCCGAGTATATAGCGATGCCCTTGCTCCGTTCGTAGCGAACCTTGTTACTACTGATTGTGGGGGGTCCACACGGTCCACACGGTCCACACTCTTACCCAGACACGGCCCGTTCGGCCCCGAATCCGGACTGGGAGCATTTGGGTGAGGGTGACCGACCCCGGTCGTCTCATCGGGGGTTTGAGGGCTCTTTGGAGCCGGTAACATGTCTGGGAAATCCACCACAAACTACTGTTGGCATGTGTTCTTCCCAAACCCATGCCAACGAGTTGGCATCGTTGGGCATGGTGCCCATGTGACTGCTGTTTGGGTCGCCTTTGGCTTCGAGAGAAATCCAAAACTATACTCTCAGACCGGAAAAGCCCCTTTGGTTCATAAGAGATTTACCCCTTAACCCCTAAAGGTTGAACCTTTAGCAGAAGATCTATGGAAGGCCCGTGCGTTTGACGCCAGCAGTCCGTGCCACATCCCAAGTCCATGCTTAGAATGCAGCGCCCACGGTCGCTGTCGCTAGATCAGTGGAGGAGCGGATTTGACGTGGAGCCACGTCACACGTGGTTCGTGCAGACTGGGTACGGATGTTGCAAGGGTGATTCTCCACAAACACACAGCCGGCTGGTAGTTTCAGATAGCTTTGAACTCAACCTGTACTTAAGATGATTGAACCAACTGGTTAATACTTGCGTCCTGAAAAGTTTGTCAAAGTATTAATTACTAGTTTTACTGTTTCAGATCATCAAACGACACAGTTTTGGACGAACGGTACTTTTTGGGGTTTGTTGCTGCTTTTGTTGTTTTCCACAAAGCAAGCAGAAAAGAGAACGCACCAACGGCACTAAGCATGGGCAAAAACGGGTGCCAACAAAACAACCAATACGACGCTAACGGCGAGGAACGATGTGAAACGATAAGTTTCTTGGAAACGACAGGAGAACCCGACCAACGACGACATGTATCAGAATGCATCTTCTTCACCGAAACGACCACACTGTGAACGGTCACACCTCAGACTGGCGATACCGGTATGTGGCCAAACATGTTTGAACCAGACAATGATGTACCTCAGGAAATCCTGCCTCTCGGGCAGGCAAGACAAACCCATGGTGAGCTGAAGGTGGTGTCTATAGACTCTTGATGAAGAAAACCACCCCCCCTACAACCTGTTGGGCCTCGTTTTCTTTATGAAAAGACCCTTTGAATTGGGCGCCGGGTGGTCCCAAAATAGAGGTCACTGCCCGGTTTTCCATGTAAAACCACCTCGAAATGTAAGCAACTCTTCCATATGGCTTCGAGTAGGACCCCGAAGAGAAGGTGCTGGCGGTTCTGGGGAAACATACACATATATATATATATATATGACAGATGTTAGCGCCCCGACAAGCCACCAACTCCACGAGCTTTGAGCTCACGCGCCGAATGCCACGGCGAAGCGAATGCCACGGCGAGAAACTCTCGGCATGGAACCGCCCGAGCCCTTCGGGGGCAGGCACGAAGGTACGGTATGAACCTGGAAACTGGATGCCCCAATGGCAGACGAGGAAGTTTAATTCCTTTGAAGTCCATGGAGAGAGGGAGGGAGAGGAAGAGAGGGAGGTCAGTTCTTGAGAGAATGACAATGTGGGCGCGTCTTGGAGGGAGACCCCCTGGTCTGGCCCCGATCCACTGGGTAGACTAGTATAGACGGTTCTATTTACCTTCCAGGCAGTCCTTGCCTGGGAGGTCTTCCCTTTTGAACACTATTATACAAACCATACAGTCTGTCACATCCACTCACTGGATAGGGCCAAGAGGTTCACCTCTTGGTGACTCCTGGCATGAGAAGAGGTTCACCACGATCTATTCCAGGGCAACCATCAATGACATCAGTTTCATGGATGTGGCTGCCCTTATCACAGTGCGCTGCCCTCGAAAAAACCGCCTGCCAAACCGAGAGATCCGCCCCCTCTCGGCCAAGAGTCGTTGGACCGGATCGGAGTGAGAGAGGCGAGTTCCGAGTTGACGACCTTGGAGCCACTCAAGACATCCTCGCACTGCCCGCCACTGACAGGCCCTGTGGATCAACCTTCTCCGAACCTCAGGTTCGGTATGCGGGCTCTCCAAGCCTACATAGATAGTCTCCAATCACCGAACCTCAGGTTCGGTATGTGGATCCATAGGGATAGGATTTGTCGGAGGTATGCTCAGAAAGTCCATGTCATTGGTACAAACAAGTCCTAAGTCATTGGCCCTCAGTATAACACTCCCTATAGCCCTCCAGGACAATTTTAATCAGGACCTGGCTTTTGTAGTGTAAGATCCTTAGTTAAACAATGGCTGTTCGGGATTCAAACCAGTTTAAAGCAATGGCTGCCGGAATCCCGGGCACTAGATGTACTTCTAGATGGGGGTCGATATAAACCACCCAACTTGGGGATTGTGCATGATTGTGCCATCTACTCTCCATCCACATGTATAAGATATCCCAGGATTCCAGTCCAACAAAAGTCTTCGCTCTATTTGCAATGATTTGGAACCCCTGATGAATCGATTCAAAACTCAACTCATGACTGATTGATAGACTAAGCCTAAGCATCATTGCTGTCTCTCGGTGTTTTGCTTCGTACTGCCACTGCGTTGGTGCTTATGACGTCATAGTTGCCCCTATCTGACTTGCTAAGAAGAGGGTGTGCACATCTTTTTCCGCTGCTCATGGCTGGATCACCCTGATACCACGACCACTTGCCCACGCACGCGCGACTTGCCCAACGAGCGTCTCGGCACCTGAGGAGCGACCTGTTTTGCAAAACTCACATAGAACCAGTTCAATTGACCGGTGGAAGACCATGTTCCTCTACCAGGACCCTCCAGCTGTCGGGGTGCCCTGTTTGGAAGCCTAGGGCCTAGGCCGGTAGTGTGGGGTAGTCCAGCCAGGACACCCCGAGGGTCGGAGGGTCCAGGTACAACCCAATGTTTTTGGGGGTTCCATTTTAATCTGCAGGGGAGTATCATGTCCAGAAAACCATGCCCACATGGGAACGCCATCGGTGTGACATGTCAGCGGGAAAAACAGCTGTGGTGGTCAGTGCGGTTGACCCTGGCTTTGCGCCAAGGATGATTTCGATTTTCCCCTATCAGTCCATCCCCCTGGCATGGGCATGTTCTGGGCATGCTTTCCTGGTTCCTTCAGCAAATCCAAGATTTTGAGCAGGCCACACTGGACTCCCAGTTGATGCTGCGAAAATGGCCTCTCCACTGCCGATGTTCGCCGGGTCTGCTCGCATGACCAGAGGAACCCGATCGGGCATTATGGTCATCGACTGCCATCCGAAAGCTGGCAGCTGACACGTGCGGAGCGCTTGGTCTACCAAAAACGATCATGCGGAGGGTTTTTGTTGCGCGAATTGGAAGGGCAGTGCTTTTGGTTGATCTGGGCGAATCACTTTTGTTTGGACTCTCCAGTTCTCAGGGGCCTCGGACCTTCTCAACGAGCCAACGCGTTTGGGGTCCGGAGCTTCGAAGAACCGAAACCTCATCCCATTGGATGCTGGGGCGGGTGGCGACCATGTGGACCCCGGGGGTCTCCTTGATCGAACAGCAGCCCGGTCGGCAGTGGTCTCTCGGTCGAAAGCGCGGGCGGCAAGCTGAGGAGCTAAGGAGGTGTTCCATGATTCTTTGGCTTCTCAACAGGGAGACGGGTCACTCCAAGCGACTGGAGTAACGATCAAGCCCCGCTAGTTGAGCGTCTGAAGAGGTTTTGGACCATCCTGGCGCCACTCCTGGTGCCGGTCCGAGGTGGACGGAGCCTAAAAAGACTCTCCCATATATGGTACCCCATAGGTACCCCAAGTAGCTCGGGTCCTTGTTCAGGTCACTGTCCACCTCTCTTGGTACCTTCGAACGGGCGAGTCGACCTGTTCGAGTCGACCTGTTCAAGAGGAGTTCGTGGCTTCCTACGCACTCTCCTTGCTCATATATGAGCGGGTGGGTCTTGACCTGGGAGGGACCGACCTAGACCTGGGAGGTCAACCTACCCTGGTTTCATCCGACCCAGACGCGACCCTGGGCCCATAATATGGAGGGGCTGTGGGGCCTCCTGCAGGACTTGGCGGTGCAAGCGGAGGACGGGGACTTCTGAAAGCGGTCGTTTGCGAAGCCGACGAAAGCATCACCGGAGACCAGTGGGAGTACCAGTGGAAAGACCAGAACTACATGGGACTGATATCCATGATGCTGTGGCTGGTCCATGAATTCCATGAAGGGAAAACCTATAGGAAACCCCTGGTGTTCTG